TATACTTTGGAAAATAATTATGTCTAAAGTTAAAAGGTGTTAAATACCATTAAGGAGAATGTGGATATTTTTGTATGTACTGTGGGAAATTTGCTAATGTTTGTTGGCATAGTGATAGAATAAAAACTCTACAGCAGAGTTTCTGGGTTTGCACCCTGGTCTACCATTTATTAACACTAATCTTTTATTATTATTAAGGTTTTGTTGACATATAATTTATATTAGTTTCAGGTATACATATATACCTTAGAAAAGGATCACCACAGTAAGTCTAGTAATCACCTGTCATCATACAAATTTATTATGTTATTGACTGTATTCTTTAGGCTTCCCCATGACTTATTTATTTTATAACTAGAAGTTTGTATCTCTTAATCTCCTTCATTGTTTGCCCATAACCCCCACCAACCATTATTTTGTTCTCTGTATTTAAGTCTCTTTTATTTTGTTTAATTGTATGTTTTTAAGATTCCTCATATGAGTAAAATCATATTTGTCTTTTTCTGAAATAATTTCACTTAACATAATACACTCTAGGTCTATCCATGTTGTCAAAAATCGCAAGATTTCATTCTTTTTATGGCTAAGTAATATTCCATTGTGCGTGTGTGCGTGTGTGTATCAGATCTTCTTTATCCATTCATCTCTCAATGACTACTTAGGTTATTTTCATATCTCAGCTATTGTAAATATATTGCAAAGAATGTAAGGGTGAATATAGCTTTTTGAATTAGTATTTTCATTTTCTTTGAATAAATATGCAGAAGTGAAATTGCTGGATCATATGGTAGTTCTATTTTTAATTCTTCGAGGAACCTTTGTGCTGTTCTCCATAGTAGCTCCACCAATTTACAATCCCACCAACAGTACACAAGGGTCCGTTTCCTCCACATCTTCTCCAACACTTGTCATTTGTTGTCTTTTAATAATAGCCACTCTGACCAGTGTGAGGTAATATCTCATTGCAGTTTTGATTTGCATTTCCCTAATGATTAATAATGTTAAGCATGTTTTCCTGAGTCTCTTGGCCATCTGTATCTCTTCTTTAGATAAATGTCTATTTAGATCTTCTGCCTATTTTTAAATTGGATTGTTAGTGTGTTTTTTGATGTTGAGTTATATGGGTTCTTTACATATTTTGGATAGTAATCCCTTAATGGATCCATCATTTGCAAATGTTGTCTCTCATTCACTAGGTTGCCTTTTTATTTTGTTGTTGATTCCTTTTTAGTTTGACAAACTCCCATTTGTTTATGTTTCTTTTTGTTGCCCTTGCCTGAGGAGACATATCTGAAATAATATTGCTAAACTGATGTCAAAAAATTTACTGCCTGTTTTCTCCTAGGAGTTTTATGGTTTCAGGTATTACATGTAAGTCTTTAATCCATTTTGAGTTTATTTTTATATATAGTGTAAGAAAGTGGCCCAGTTTCATATTTTGCATGTATCTGTCCAGTGTTCCTACTGTAATTTTTTGAAAAAGCTATCTTTTTCTCATTGCATATTCTTGCCTTCTTTGTCATAGATTAATTGATCATATAAGCCTGGGTTTATTGTTGAGTTCTCTATTCCACTGATCTGTGTGTGTGTGTGTGTCTCTCTCTTTTTTTTTTTTCCTCAGTATCATACTGTATTGATTACAATAGCTTTATAGTTTAGTTTGAAATCAGGGAGTGTAATACGTTCAACTTTGTTCTTTCTCAAAATTGCTTTGGCTATTTGGGGTCTTTTGTGGTTCTGTACAAATTTTAGGATATTTTTTTTTCTGTGAAAAATGCCATTGGTATTTTGATAAGGATTGCATTAAATCTGTAGATTATTTTGGATAGTATGGGCATTTTAACAATATTAATTCTACCAATCCATAAGCATGGTATATACTAAAACTATAATCTTAAGTAAATAACTTTTTGGAGACTCAGTTTTATAATTCATAAAATTAGGATAACAATATATTTACATCATAGGATTGATATGAAGATTGAAGTTTAAATATATGTAATGTGCCTGGAAGAGGGTCTGCTTATATAAATGTTATCTATTTTCATTGTCTTTGGCAATAGATTCCAAAATCAGCTGATACACAATATAATCTTGTTCAAATGGCAGTAACTCAAAAAGCCTTTGATAGCTATTTATATTAGAGTTCTACTTTATAGATTTGAACAGGAGCCGGGATGTATGGCCAGCTGTCAATAATGTTAGAGATTCCACTGAACTCACTCGCTTAAAGCTTTGTGCCTCAGTTTCTTTGCTTATCCTGCACAAAATAATCCAATAAGGAACATTCACCCAGGATTTTTAAATATCAAGTATTCTCTTACATCCTATTTTGAAATTTTCATATTGATTGAAGTTGATGGATAACATATAATAAACCATTCACAAGAACACTAAAAATCTTTAATAGAGGTTTCAGTCAGTAATTTAATGCTTTATTGTTTTTGTCCCTCCTGTAAGAAAGAGTGAGAATTCTCTAGAACTTTTAATTTTGTAAACTATTGCCCAACTTTTGGCTCTTATCTTGTCAGAAATAAACATTTGTCAATTGTGATTCACTATGTGAGTTGTTATTAAGGAAATCTAGTGCAATTGATGAGATTCCTGCCCATGACAGGGTCAGTCTCAATGTTATCCAATAATTGACCCTGTTGCCTGCATGGCAGGAGGATAGTAGTTACAATTATTGTTATTTTGTGTCTAGGGAAACTCAGACAGGAGGGTTAAGTGACTTCCTCAAGGTCCTATTGAAAATCAGTGGCATTGCAAGGAACAGAACTAGTAATACACTTAATCAGATCACCTCTTGAATACTTTTAACTTTTTTATGAGGATAACGAATAATTGTCCATGATATACCAGTGTACACTTCAAAATTATTTATTAGATCTAGAGTCATGGATTTATTATATCTGAAATAAAGACTGTAAAAAGAGGCCCGAACTGAATCTATCTACAGCTATTAGTGTTTGAAAGTTTAAACACTTTTTAATGAAAATGGAGAGAATGATAGTAACCAATGGTCAAGATGGAGAAAATTCATTTCTATTTTTGAGCTAGGTTAGTAGCTTATAATTTACTTAATGTGTTTGGATATTATTGATTTCAGGCATAAGTGAGCTGTGTCTTCATTTACATATGCCAGCAGCAGTAAAAGTTGCTTTTCTTTTAATTTATTACATAGGCAACATTTCTTGAGAAAGGAAACTACAGACTATTTTCAGAACCTAAGAGTTATCTGTATAGCTCATCAATTAAAAACCTAGTCTCATAGCTTAATTTAATTATTCAAATAAAATAAAATAATAACAGAAAAAAGCAAATTTTATGTGTTAGATATGTTAATATATTTCGATAGTAGAAATAGAATAGAACTAGATTGAATAGAAAACAGCTATCCTTTATTGAACCTTTACTATACATCAAACATTATGGTAAGGAATTTAAAGGAAACTTCAAATCAGAAAGCCTCATTGTTTATTTTCTTTAGTAGGTTAGAACTGAAGCATGGATAATCCTGAGATTTTTTTTTATGGGTACCAAGTTGTTTTAGACCCTAAGTTAGGCTTATAATAAATAACAGATACTTGATATTGTTTCTTTTATTATAGTTTTGTAGTTGGATTTTTTATTGACCATTCTTATAATTCTTTTATTCATATATTTAAGTTTTTTTTTGGTATTATACACTTTTGATTCAATAAAGTGTATTTTTAATATTCTGAACCCAGTGTCCAGAATATTTCAAAGCTTTTTGAGGGGATTTTTTCTTATTTTCTCATATATAGGTGTCCTGGAGACTAACATCTGGAAATACATAGGCATTATAGGTATCACATATTCCATGTGAATAAGCATTAAGTAAATTCAGCTTACAAGATTTATTCTTTTTAAACAATCCCTCTCAGGCCTATGTATTCCTTATACTATTAGAATATGTATGAGTTCCTTTTTGAGAATATGGTTGCAAAGACTGTTGTATGGTATTGTATGAAATTGTATGGTATTAATATTATCAAATCACTTTTCCTTCAAGGTGATTTATTATTATTATTATTATTATTATTATTATTACTAGTACTACTACTTGACAGAAAGTCATAGGTTCCAGGTGCTAAGGTTGTGAATATGGTAGTTTAGGAGTATGGATGGTTTTCTCCCATCCCTCGTTCTAAATTGCAAGTAGAAGATGCAAGTTGCATGCTGTTCAAAGTACAACATATCTAAAGAATTGATACTATGTTAAAACATTAAGTTTGGTGTGCTTGGGAGAATAGCACCCCCAAAATCAGGATGCTAATTAGGGATGTTTATTTTAATAAACTCTGCCCATGACATTCTTAATCTTTTCCAAAAACAGTTGGTATATATGTACATATCTGAATGTGCTTATATGCATAAAATACAGATATGTCTGAATGATTATATGTATATATATGCTTATCTATATAGATATGACTTGTAAGTGTATACTTTTACTGTTTATCAATCTATAGTCAGTATTTATGTAAGGATGTGTATATCTGAAAATAAATACATGCATACATAAATAGTCTCATTTTAAGATAAATTTTGTTATACTTCTACCTTTTGAAGCATACTATTAGTACAACTAAATGAAGTATATACTTTTCTAACATATGTAATGCATTACATTAGGTTTAGATTAATTTAAAATTTAAATGTTAGAAATTTGAGAAGTCCAACATCTATATTAAGAAGTAGATTTAAATATGTCAGATACTAAATTATACATTGTTTTTCTTTTCTCAAATTTAACGTTGCTGTTCTGGAGCCAACAATTATAATTCAATAGATCTTTCATATTAAAATAAAACATGGAAAGTTTTGATTATATGACTTAAAAAAAGAAAGCTATGACATGTCTGTTTTTAAATGAAAATGAAAATAATTTATGAGCATTCTGTCATTACTAATTATTCCTAAAATGCTTTTTGACGTAGTGAAATAATTTTAAATCTAACTATCACGTGTTTTAGGCCAAGATGACTCAATTGCCTGAGGCAGAAAAGGAAAAGATTGCTGAGCAAGTTGCTGATTTCAAGAAAGTAAAGAGTAAGCTGGATGCTGAAATTGAAATATGGGATGATACAAGCAATGATATTATTGTTCTGGCCAAGAAGATGTGTATGATCATGATGGAGATGACAGATTTTACAAGGTAATTATGTGGAAAATGATCTGTAATATTTATAATGGTTAGAAACATTTGTCACATTAGCGAAACCTCAAGATTCTTTGAGTGGCAGGTGCTAAAAATCAAGTGATAAAAAAAAGTAAATAATATTAAATTAGAAAGTTGTAGATGTGTCATGCTAGAGGTTGTGGTAAATAAATATGGCAGAGTTTGTAATAAACTGCCAAGGAATAATTTTAGAAACCACTTTATACTCTCTTACCTTAGGAATCTTCTCTGTATATCATATTACACATTACTTTTACAAAGAAATTGTTAAGTTATGATCTCTTTGTGAACTATCTGAGTGATTGATTTCCATAGATACATAATTTTAAAGTGATTTATGTATCATAAAATTAGTGATATCTTTTGCTACTGAAAGAGCAACTAGATACATTTGAGTGCAACGACTTAATGGTATATTTGAAGGAATTATACATTGTGAGTATGTATGTGATAAAAAGAAATTTGCAGTAGAATTTAAGGAGATGAGAGACTTGAAATTACTAGAAAGGATATGTTGAAATAACCGACTGGGTTCAGACTGAAGGAAGGGAAATGAAGTTAGTAAGATGGAAGGATAAATATATGTCACCAACAAGTGGTGAGGATAAAAACTTCAGTGAAGTCTTTCCTGCTCTGCATCGGTCTCCCTCCCAAAGGAATTAATGTTCTACTGTTGGCATACTTTAAGTTGAGTTTGAAAAGGTTGTGCAGTGACTTTGAGGGTGTCATATCTGTAGCTAGGGTGTTAGAAGAGGATTCACAACTCCACAGAGTGATAACTCATTGGGAAATAAACACATCTATGTTTTGCAAAAGCTAAACAGCCCAACATTCTCACAATCTATAGGTGTCACTACCAAAGACATCCACAGAATAGAAATATTGTATGCTCAAACTGCAGTAAAAGTATAGTAGCAAAATTGAATTTTAGATTCTGATAATCTTTTGCACTTAAATTGAATCCAGATTCAGTTTAATTTCAGTTCATATAAACTGTGATAAAGATCCAATTGTTTTAAAATGAATGAAACCTTGTTCTCTACTTCTTTTTTGCTACCAATTCTGTTTCAAGTATTTTCTAAGACACTACAATGTTTTTCTGAGCGTTAAATTTAACAATTTTATATATAGGCTATTTCTCAGTTCCACCCATTTCACATTTCTTTCATTGCAGGTGTTTCAACTTTGTAATGGGGACTGTGAGAATGGTGGTTATTGCTGGTCCTGAAGTATTTATCAACAAGTAGTTGACCATTATAGTACACTCTGTCTCACATATAGATTTTAAATAGCTATGTAATTTTTTAATAATAAAAAGAAAAAATAGTAAATTATTTTTTCTAAAGAGTTACTCAATGCTCTGTTTTCTCATTTTCTTCAACTACTATTTTATTATTAATAAGAGGAATAATAATAGTAAACATTGATGAATGCTTACTATGTACTACACTATGATGACTATATATGTTTTCTCATTTTTATTCTCAAGAGAGTTTGTCATATTCTCTATTTTATTGTTTTAAAAAATAACAGATTTAAAGAGGTCAGATAAATTGCTCAAGGACACACAAATGAAATTACTTCCAATTGGAGTTGATCCATCTGCAGAATCTGGGTACCTACTCACTGTATTACAAGTTTTACCTTTGTGCTAAACACAGAACAAGACCTAGTCCATTCCCCAAGGGGAAAACAAATAGACATATTAGAAATAACAACAGTAATTGTGTAGTGCATTGTATTCTTCTAGCTGTGAATACATTAGAATTTCAAAAGAGAGATTATTACAGGGAAACAGAGTGGGCAGAAAACAAAAGGTATGAACAAATGAAGTTTGTATTCAACTGAAAATGAGATCTGGGATTGAATTGTGGAATGAGATAGTACAAATAAGAAAACTCACAAAGGTAGAGACCAGGAGGTGGGAAGGAGCCAGACTGATCTAAGAAAACTATATAAATACAGGAAGAAGTTAAGATGAACATGAAGAAAGCAATAGATTATAAAAGGCCTTAGAAAATATGCAAGTTTTTCTTTATTAATTTTTAAGTGAGATATAGAGAGCTATTCAAAATTTGTGATCAGGATGGTAGTGTTATAGATAGAAAAGATATATAAGAATGATATGCAGGAAAAATAACAGGCACCTTTACATGACACTACTAGCAGAGAGTCAAAACCCATGGGGTTCTAGTCACATAATTAGACAGACTTTGGAAATTCTAGTATAGGCTAATAGAAACTTGATAAATTTCTTAAAAATTACTGTGTCAGGAGCTAAAAAAAAAATTACTACAGTAAACTTGATGTAGCCATTTCTGAGCCTCGGTTCAATCTCCTTAGCACATCGGCCATTCAGTACTTCTAGCCTAAATTGGAGACATGAAATAGGTTTTACTCTGGTTGTCTGTGTTCAGTTACAAATAAAGCAAAGCATCTCTGTCACCACTGTGATACATTCATCTTAGGGCAGAAAATTCAGGCTTTAGTGTTTTAAATATGATTTCTCCTTGGTAAAGGGCCATCCATATAGTCACATAAGCTACGTTACATTATCACACTGGCCTGTGGCATCGTCTAATAACTCAGCATTTCTTTTCTTCAGTCTCTGGTATTTTCTAGAATCAGGCTTAAGGACTTAAGACTTGCTAGAGGAAAGCAAGTCTTTTTCCTTGCACTGATTAGTTTCCCAGGGAAGCATCTTCCAAAGTCCTGACTGGAAAGGAAGGGTTCTGGGAGCAGAGGTGTAGAGGGTAGAGTGTCTGGTAGACTCTACATTTAGTACTAAATATTCAAACATTTATTTAATATTCCACTTGTTAGTAAAAGGCATTCCCCCTTAAATAAGTGCGAAGACCTCCAACACAAAGACTATTTCACCCTCTTCAGAGGATAATATCCAGACTTTTCCTAGATGAAGAAGAGGAAGATGTTCAGTGATATGGAGTAAAGAAGGGGCTCAAACTGCCTCTTTCATTCTCTCCCTTTACCCCAAATTTCAGTCATGCATGGGTCTTTCTTTTTAAATCAGCTCGATTATTAGTTTTCTCACTGCTGTTTTGGACTCTGGCTTTTTTCAGGTTGACTATATTATTTACCTCTTATCTGCTTTCTAGTTTCCTAAAATTTCTTGCTGATGTCTCTTCTCTCATTCTGCTATCTCCATCCTTGTGGGTTTAATATTTAGAAGGAAAAACAAAATTATCTGTAGTTTTAGTGGGGTTTGGAGAAGGAGAAAAAACATAAACATGTGACAACCTGCCATCTTAACCTGGAAGCCCACTAAAATTTATAAAGATTAGGAAAGTTTTCTCTTTATGATATTTAGAGGTTAGATTACTTATTAATGTTTTCTTCATAAATTATGCCCCCCCCTTCCATTTCTCACCTCAGGTAAATTCTGTTCAAGTGGTTTCTTGAATATGAACTTAAACAGTTTCTGCATTTCATAGCTTATATAACATTTGAGAACATTAAATTCATTTCCCCCATCTAAACAGAAGACAGGCTCTGGGTAAAACTCTCTAGATATTTAATTATATTTTTTATTAGTACTTAGGATGCATTTTTTAAAAAGATGCTAGTAAATTATGGGGAAAATACAGAAACTTATAACTATTCCTAAAATAAGAAATGCAAACCATCATATACATCTTTGCCAAAAGTTATGATTTCTAAGAGTGTACCTACTTTAATGTTACTATTAATAAAATTTAAAAAATTGAAAATACCTGGGCAAAAGCAATACTCCTTTAAGCACTAATATTTTTATAAACTATCCAAAAATATACCAAGGTGTTGTACCTATTCTCATAAAATTTTATATTTTATCCCGTGTACTTAATATCATTCAGCAATTCTTTCTGTTTTTATATTTCTACAGTATCCCTAAGTATGTTCTCTGAATCTTGGCCAAATCACCTAGCTAAGCCCACCTAGCCTCAAAAAGACCAGTTTTTTAAGGTGTTTTGCCACTCTACCCACTTAAATATGTCATACTGTACTCAAAAGTTAACCTGAAGTATAAAGAAGGAGTATGTGGATCGAAAGGGGTTTGCTGTGAAGCACTGAGCTCCCAGCTTTCCTTATATCCAGGATATGCTACTTAAGTAATGATTGAGCAATGGGAGGTGATACTTTGAAGAGTGTCCAACTGAAAGGAAAAGAAAAGAATACTCATAAATGCTCATGCAGAAATAATGTTGCCTTCATCTGTAGATAAGGAGTCTTTAGATAAGACAACTGTAGAGTGCTGGCAGATAAGGAACTAGATTTGGAAGTTAGGGTGTATTTGTTCACTGTCACCTTTTGCATACATCCACTAGATATGGACTTGCATTGAGAACTTTTTGCCCTGCTTTTCTTTTCCAAGATATAATTCTGAGAGATGGAATAGAAAATGAACAGAGGGAAGGGTAAAAACTCACCTTGCCGCTGTTCAGTTAGGGCTTCAGAATTAAAGTCTTCCAGAAGTATTGTTAAAATGCATAAAAATTCATGTGTTCTCAGCTCCACATCCTTTTATTTGTTAAATATGGAATCACTTTGCATACGATTAGTTTTGCTTTTTGAGGTTAACCATTTATATTCTAATATAATGTGTTAACGACAATGGCAATTTAAATGTTTTAGCCCACACAGCCAAAAGAATAAAAAATATTGATATTTTAGTTTTTTCTTTTTAAAAAGTCTTAGGTCTTAATAAGGCTACTTGATAAGGCTACTGAATTCTGTTTCAGATTTATATTAAATTTACACAAAAATATCTAGCAAATGACTAAAAATTAAAATATGAGATATGTAGATCATTTAAGATTTTGAAAAAAACATTTCTGGCTTTTCAATTTAAACTTTAAGAAGGCATTCATTTTATAATTGAAATAAATACTATATCACTCTGCTAAACAATAATGGCTTATTTTTTTCTTCTTTTTAGGACAGTGTGTTAGAGTAATTATAAACTATTATTGCCTTTT